CCTAACAAGTATTCACACCTGGTACCCCCAAACTCTGGACAGTGGTTCTAACAGACTGTACTACTTGATCGCACCCAGTGGTACCCCCAGACTCTACAGAGGTTCTAACTGACCGTACTACGTGGTCACTGGCGATCAATCCTAACAAGTATTCAGACCTGTTCCCCCCAGGCTCTGGACAGAGGCTCTAACTGAATGAACTACGTGGTCACTGGCGATCAACACTAACAAGTATTCAGCCCTGGTACCCCCAGACTCTGGACACAGACTATAACTGACTGTACTACGTGGTCATTGGCAATCAACCTTACCAAATATTCAGACCTGGTCCCCCCAAACTCTGGACAGAGGGTCTAACTGACTGTACTACGTGGTCCCTGGCGATCAACCCTATCGATTTTTTAGACCTGGTACCCCCAAACTCTGGACAGAGGCTCTAACTGAATGAACTACGTGGTCACTGACGATCAACCCTAACAAGTACCCAGACCTGGTCCCCCCAAACTCTGGACAGAGGGTCTAACTGACTGTACTACGTGGTCCCTGGCGATCAACCCTATCGATTTTTTAGACCTGGTACCCCCAAACTCTGGACAGGGGTTCTAACAGACTGTACTACTTGATCGCACCCAGTGGTACCCCCAGACTCTACAGAGGGTCTAACTGACTGTACTACGTGGTCCCTGGCGATCAACCCTATCGATTTTTTAGACCTGGTACCCCCAAACTCTTGACAGAGGTTCTAACTGACCGTACTACGTGGTCACTGGCAGTCAACCCTAACAAGCATTCAGACCTGGTACCCCCGAACTCTGGACAGAGGTTCTAACTTACTGTACTACGTGGTCACTGGCAGTCAACCCTAACAAGCATTCAGACCTGGTACCCCCAGGCTCTGGACAGAGGCTCTAACTGACTGAACTACGTGGTCGCTGGCGATCAACCCTAACAAGAATTCAGACCTGGTACCCCCGAACTCTGGACAGAGGTTCTAACTGACCGTGCTACGTGCTCACTGGCGATCAACCCTAACTAGTATTCAGACCTGGTACCCCCGAACTCTGGACAGAGGTTCTAGTATTCAGACCTGGTACCCCCGAACTCTGGACAGAGGTTCTAGTATTCAGACCTGGTACCCCCAAACTCTGGACAGAGGCTATAACTGACCGTGCTACGTGGTCACTGGCGATCAACCCTAACAAGTATTCAGACCTGGTACCCTCAGACTCTGGACAGTGGTTCTAACTGACTGTACTACGGGGTCACTGGCAATCAACCCTAACAAGAATTCAGACCTGGTACCCCCAGACTCTGGACGGTGGTTCTAACTGACTGTACTACGTGCTCACTGGCAATCAACCCTAACAAGCATTCAGACCTGGTACCCCCAAACCCTGGACAGAGGCTATAACTGACCGTACTACGTGGTCACTGGCAATCAACCCTCACAAGTATTCAGACCTGGTACCCCCATACTCTGGACAGAGGATCTAACTGACTGTACTACGTGGTCACTGGCAATCAACCCTAACAAGTATTCAGACCTGGTACCCCCAAACTCTGGACAGTGGTTCTAACAGACTGTACTACTTGATCGCACCCAGTCTGACTTCCAGTACATTCACACTCCTACAATTTGATTGTCAACGGAAATCATATGAAATTTTTCTGCTTATCAAGATGGGCACCTAATTGCCTCTAATTGAAAATTTCTCAAAGGTAATAGAAATAATGTACCCTAAATGGGATCGAACCGTTTTGGATTTTTCACATCAGTTCTTCTTTAGAATTACCATAAAAATTTGACTGTCCCATAACACTTAGTATACATGTATTAATTTAGCTTCCAACCAGAAATGTATGTCCTATTATTTTTTCAAGTTCTCAGATTTCTTCTGTTCAAATTGCATTTACCGAATATTATAATACAACCTGGTGATGGGTATGGGAAATCCAAATACCTGGTAGACATTCTCATTTAAAAGCAGGAGATGATTGAAGTTTATTTGTAGTGCATTACTCCCTGGTGGCTGGCCGACTCGGGCTGACAGGATCACACCTCGTTAATGGTAGAAGCTAGGCTCTTACACAAAGCGTCTGCATCCCCAGCGTCTCTGAAAATATGGTATTTCACCTCTTTAAAAGGAATTTTATCACTGAAATATGACCTGAAATTGATAATGTATCCAAACAAGGATGCCTGTCATATATATTTGCAAAAACATTTCACTGATACATGATTTATCTGGGGAAAATGTAATATGATATGCTTCATGTGATTTCAGTTTAATTAGTGTTCAATACAGAAGTCACAGATCATTGGATGTATGTCAACTATACCAAGGAAACCTTTGTGACTGCTATCTGAGTGACGATACAACAATGTTAGGGTGATGCTTTATTGCTCTACGGCAGACTTAGTGTTTGTGTGTCACCATCATAAGTCATGGTACGCAGAGAATGTCAACGAGCTGCAGAATAGAATTGAAAGATCAGATATGCTTTCTGCATCAGAGATTGTGGCTGTTACAAATTCAATGTTCCATGAATACTTGACAATATTGTAACACTCCAGAGAGAAGAACATCAAGGAAAAATAGTTTCCATGAGAGATATGGCACTATTGCCATGGAGAGGTAGCCATTACTGAGATACACTGTTGCCATGGATACAATGGTACCCACTCTGAAAGGTTTGTATATAAGATGATTATGTAATAGTCAAGTCCACTGGGCATGACTATCAAATTGTAAACAGTTTCACACACTTACATACAGCTTTAAAATTCTGTCTATTGATTCAAATTGAAAGTCTGATTCACAAAAATGTTATTTTAATAATAATGATGTGGTAAAAAAAAAAAATCAAAAAATCTTACATTAATTTTTTAAAACAAATATTTATCTACAGGAGAGTAATTTGACAGGATAATCTTGCTCCTTTCAGCAGAACCAAATACATGCTGACCCTATGACTGTCTTTTATGTGAGATGTGATGTAATCTACATGACATAGTGTTGCAGAGAGTTATCTGCCCTTGAGATCTAACTAATGATGATTGCCTAGGTGCTCAATGCCAAATTAGCTAAACAAGTCATTAACAGAAATTTTAGGAATGATTTTTTCAGAAATGTCTTAAAATTTTCCAATATTTTTGCATTTCTTTCTTTTGATTGCTCATTTTGAATCCTTATACAGCCAGATTCAATTTTTGTCAAAGGTTTTGTTTTTGTCAAATATGATAACAGCAGTTTGTCATGCTTGGAACATTCAGGCCCAGGTTATCTAAATTCAGTAGCACTCAAAAATATGACTGCATTTTAAAGCGTTTCAGGCTTATGCTCACTAGATACATTTTCTATCTCATCAAATCGTTTAAAAGGAACAATGTTCTATGCTTCAAATGTCAATATTACATATATGCATCTTTGAGGCTTGCATTAGAGTGGCCAGTGGGTTTTTTTTCGAAGATATCTAGACCTCAAGAGGCCACGAAAAACTCAAAGGAATGATAAGGGACACTTCCTGTCTCTTCATAAATGTCATTTGGAGATTAGTCTTGCAAACACTTTCCAAATCTAGACAAGACAAATGTATTTTACCCTAGAAATACTTTCCAAATTTTTTAGATACAGGACAGCATTTCTTAAGTTGGACATTGATAACTTGTATTTTTTATCAAATTCTATTTTGTCAGATATTTCTATAGAGTGCAGTTATGATAAAGTGCTGTTGTTGTTGTTGTTGTTTTTCAGGAAAATATCGATTTTGATAAGTTCAAGTATGCTTTCAACGAGAATCAACTGATGAAGTTTTCCAGAATGTTTTGAAACAGTAAATGGTAACTTTCATTCAGAACACTGATGCATTGGATGAAAATAAAGTCTTCATTTTCCATAAACTTTGTTTTTAAAATAAAGATAAAAAAATGGATTATAAATTTGTTTTCAGTAAATGGGAATCACTTCTCCATAATGTGTTCTAAGAATGGTGCCCCTGTCATCCTTTAGATATGGATCGCTATATGGACTGTTGTAATTTGTGCCTACTTCAGTGTTCACAAAGGGTACACAACACTTTATTGTTCAGGCTAAAGCCAAAATACAATGGATTTCACTTCGGTCATATAATCTCTTTATTAGCTTAGGAATTTTGTAAACTATTGTCATCTTCTTCAAAAAATATGTCTGCAGTGTATTAGTGATAGTCCAGACGAACCATTTGTCCAACAGTTTAACATAGTATTGACCAAATGCTCTTAAATCATTTGATTAGGTAAAATCTATAAATAACATGTGTTTACTCAGTATAGTCCTTAACAATAGAGGTTATCATTTTTAAATAGGTACAAATGTCCAGGTATAAATATTTTATTTAATAAGACTCGGGTGTTTTATATGAAATCAATAGTAACTAGATCCAATGCTGTTTTGAAGTAAGAATTGATTTCGACAGCTAGGCTTTATCATAATATGTCAATTAAAAATATAGATATTGGCAAACTAGGAGCCTTAATCCTACTAAAGAGTGATGAGTCAGTTTTACTGAAAACAAAGACTTGTATAATCTAACTGTTCCTTTTAGATATTAATAGAAATTCATGTCCTTCATGTATGACATGTCGTGGCAATTGTCAATGAAGTGACGTTTCAGATTACTCATTATTTCAGATTACTCATTAAGTTAGATGTATGATGTAATACAGTCAGTGGGACCTCCGGCTGAAGATCTGATTTGATATATACAGCTTTGCGGGTTATACAGTGTTCAGACAATACAGGTCAATAAACCCTATGCTATATGTTAGAACATATACACACAACTTTATGTACTTACCTCTTGACCTATGACCTTAAATATGAAATACATGCCAAGTTTGGCTGGTTTTCAGGATTTGAGTGCCATCAGCATCATCATCATCATCATCAGCTGGCCTGATATGAAACATATTAATGCTATCATTAGCAGTCTAGATTTACCAGATCATTATATGTTGGTGGGCCATCCTCAACCTGGGCATGTGTATATTGAACAGTAATTTGTTATAACATACTGCAGTTTATGGACCTGAAACAGTTGCGTTATGTGGAATATGGCCAGTGGTACAGTGTGTGTATGATAGACTGCTGTACATTGGTGTGGTAGTCGGGATCACTGGGGAGCACAGCATGCAGACTCTGGCAGATACTCCGTCCAAACTCCACCCTAACCAGGCTTGTACTCTCAGAGGTGGGTCTTACTGTCTCACTGGCTATGAAGACACCTGTATGTAATGATACCTGTGTATACTGAACACTGACACAGGTTTCTAAACTGTCACCTGTAAAAACTGACTTGGGATTTACACTGACACTGATTATGTAATATCACAGGGTACAATGACTCACTGTGTTTATAATGAGGTTTAAAATGACACAGGGTATATGGAAATTCACATAGGCTATACATAGATTATAATGCATTGTATATAGAAATCCACACAGGGTATATGGAAACTTGCACAGCATATATAGACACTCCAACATGGTATACAGAGATACTGACATTGGGTATACAGAGATACTGACATTGGGTATATAGATGCTGACATTTGGTATATAGATACTGACATTGGGTGTATAGATATTGACATTGGGTATATAGATACTGACATTCGGTATATAGATACTGACATTGGGTATGTAGATACTGACATTGGGTATATAGATACTGACATTGGGGGTATAGATACTGACATTGGGTATATAGAGATACTGACATTGAGTATATATATACTGACATTGGGTATACAGAGATACTGACATTGAGTATATAGATACTGACATTGAGTATATAGATACTGACGTTGAGTATATAGATACTGACATTGGGTATATAGGTACTGACATTGGGTATATAGATACTGACATTGAGTATACAGAGATACTGACATTGGGTATGTAGATACTGACATTGAGTATATATATCCTGACATTGGGTATATAGATACTGACATTGGGTGTATAGATATTGACATTGGGTATATAGATACTGACATTCGGTATATAGATACTGACATTGGGTATGTAGATACTGATATTGGGTATATAGATACTGACATTGGGTATGTAGATACTGATATTGGGTATATAGATACTGACATTGGGTATATATAGGTACTGACATTGAGTATATATATACTGACATTGGGTATATAGATACTGACATTGGGGGTATAGATACTGACATTGGGTATATAGAGATACTGACATTGAGTATATATATACTGACATTGGGTATACAGAGATACTGACATTGGGAATATAGATACTGACATTGGGTATATAGGTACTGAGATTGGGTATATAGATAGTGACATTGGGTATATAGATACTGACATTGGGTGTATAGATTCTGACATTGGGTATATAGAGATACTGACATTGGGTATACAGATACTGACATTGAGTATATATATACTGACATTGGGTATATAGATACTGATATTGGGTGTATAGATACTGACATTGGGTATATAGAGATACTGACATTGGGAATACAGATACTGACATTGAGTATATACATACTGACATTGGGTATATAGATACTGACATTGTGTGTATAGATACTGACATTGGGTATATAGAGATACTGACATTGAGTATATATATACTGACATTGGGTATATAGATACTGATATTGGGTGTATAGATACTGACATTGGGTATATAGGGATACTGACATTGGGTATATAGAGATACTGACATTGGGAATACAGATACTGACATTGAGTATATACATACTGACATTGGGTATATAGATACTGACATTGGGTATGTAGATACTGACATTGGGTATATAAATACTGACATTGGGTATTTAGTTACTGACATTGGGTATATAGATACTGACATTGGGTGTATAGATATTGACATTGGGTATATAGATACTGACATTTGGTATATAGATACTGACATTGGGTATGTAGCTACTGACATTGGGTATATAAATACTGACATTGGGTATTTAGTTACTGACATTGGGTATATAGATACTGACATTGGGTGTATAGATACTGACATTGGGTATATAGATACTGACATTGAGTATATAGATACTGACATTGGGTATATAGATATTGACATTGGGTATATAGATACTGACATTTGGTATATAGATACTATAGATACTGACATTGAGTATATGGAAACTTGCACAGCATATATAGACACTCCAACATGGTATACAGAGATACTGACATCAGGTATATAGTTACTGACATTGGGTATATAGATACTGACATTGAGTATACAGAGATACTGACATTGGGTATGTAGATACTGACATTGAGTATATATATACTGACATTGGGTATATAGATACTGACATTGGGTATA